CTTCTGGATTGGGTTCAAAATTACAAGGCTACGGAGTTGAACATTAGTCGTCGTAAACCCGAAATTGGGTCAGCTGTTCAACTACGGTTAAAAGATAAAATATTCAGAAACTGTACAAAACGTACCAATCATATCTTATACATTAAATTAAAACTGGTGATGGAAATTCATGACGATTGTTGGTATTTTAATATACAGTTTACATGAGAACTTTATTCGCGATTTTGCTTTATTAATTAGGCAAATATCCGTAAATGCTTCATTGGCACGCAAAATTGAGTGGTGCCAATACGATTTCTAGAAATCCTTTTAAAATTAACTTTTTAATTATTCCAATTACTGTTTATAAACATTATTATTTAAACCATGATCATTTAATTGAAAGATTAAATCATTATATTCAAACTTTAAATAGAATGATCATGGTCAAATTATTGAAATGCCAAGTAACATCTAATAACTAAAAAAATAAATATATATTAGATTTCCATTTATAAGTAGAAAATAAAATATTAAAAAAGAAATGAAAAAATTGTTCCACAGCTCTAATCGAAACAAACGGCAGGCGTCTTCCAGACAGACACGTACCACTAAGCCACTGTGCTGTTCAACTAGTATGTAAGATATGCTTTATTTTGAAATTCGTTTTATTTTTGACATTATCTGACTTTATTATTTTAAGAGTTGGACAGCTGAATATCTCTAATGTATATCTGTGATGGTTCAGGGGAAAGAGCATTCGCCTCCCAATGAGGTGGCCCGGGTTCAAATTCCAACTATAGCTGATCGATACGAAATCCGCAGCTGGATCGAGGTCGAATACAGTGCTGACGTAAAATATCCTCAGTGATAGACGGATCATGTGTTAGAATTCCCTTACCATCAGGCAAACCGTGGGAGGTTATCGTGGTTTTCCTCTCCATGTAACGCAAATGCGTGTGAATTCCATCAAAAAGTTTTCCACAAAAGCAAATTTTTCTCAATACTCAATCCAGAAGTTCCCTTGTCTTCTGGTTTGGGTTCAAAATTGCTACAGGGTTAAACATAGGCTGTCGTAAACTCAAAAAAACTCAAAATTAGTTGTTCAACGACGGTTATTTTTAAAATAAAAGCTAAAGTTTCATCCAAAGTGAATTTTTCAAGTAGCGTCCTCCCCTGGACCCTCCTCTTAAAATTCATGTATGATACAGAAAAATTTGTTTTTCAGAGTGTTTTCCACCATTTAACAATCTAATATGGTAATATCATAAGAATTAGCTGTTTCCGAAATTTTCTCAAAAATGGCAAAACTTATCCATGATTTTTGACAAAAATTATTTTTCGATGTGCATTTTTTATTAAAAAAAAAACTTTTTTGCCAATTATTAACTCAATTATTTCAGAAAAATAGTATATAATCACAACAAATTAGATGTAAATAGATTTTAAATCATGTTCATGAACTTAATCTTAAGTCAAAGGAAAAAATAAATTCATATAATTCTCAGTTTTTCCTTTCAACATATTTCGCGATGAGAGGCCGGCTGAAAAATGTATTATCTTATTACAAATAGGATTAAACGTTTCTCCAGAGAAGATCACATATTCCATTGTTTTCACGCATCGAAAACAAGCGATTGTTACAGCAACAACATTTCGCTCATTGTTTTCTGATCTCTTACAATCTTTCGATGTTAATCTGGAAAACTTTTCGTAATTTGGGCAACAAGTGATAGTGTTTTGACAACAAGCCAAAGCGGCGCATAATCATAAAAAGAGGTCAACTAAAAGAGGTGCATTAAATGCTCGCTTCTTCAATCCTAAAATCAATGAAATGCTATTGTTTATAAACATAATACTGTTGGAACGCTTGAAAAGTATTAGTACATCCATGTACGTGACTAAATTTCTTAACTCGAGGTGTTTCATAAATCTAATAAATGAGACTGAAAGAAAATATATATTGTCGGTGAACTTTTTATTCTGATCGCAGCACAAAATAAGTGTTTAAGAAAAAGGAAACAGCTTAAAATGAGAGTTTAAGAAATTTGACAAAGCCCAAAATGCGTGTTTAAAAAATATTAAAAGTGTTTCCTTGTTCTACAATGCATATTCGAGAATTTAGACATTTATGAGTTTCAACTTACACTTTTATTTTATCATGTATAAATGTCTAAGAATGAAACAAACCTTAGTAAATTTTAAATAGCATTTTTCCATTGAATTCTTAGTTTTTTTTTTTTTTTTTTTTTTTTTTTTTTTTTGCTTAGAAACTTAATTTTATACTGATTTAACGGTACGTGTACTAATGTAGTTGCTTAGCCCTCGTGTTTTTACGTAAGTAGTTTTGATTATTTATAAGATTAATGTTTCAATGCCGTTTTCGCTTAATTGCAGCCACATGTCACTACATCAATAACAAATACAAGCTAACTAATTTGTAAATTCAGAAGAAAATTGATAAAAATCCTATCTTATTACAAATGTGTCCAATTAAATAGTCATGTATTTGACAAGCTTATAATTATTATTAAATATCGGTATGTAGCTCTTTTGGCTCCCCACAACCTTGTAATTTTGAAACTTAATCAGAAGACCGGGGAATTCCCGAATAACGTTTTGGAACAAACATGTTTTTGCTTCAGCCACCTCTGCGTCGCGTAGAGGGGACCTTGGAAATCTCCCATGGTTAGCTATACCGCAATAAGGAATAATCTAAATCATTCTAATATTTAATTCATTTTACGTTAGCATTGGGATCAATCAGAGCCAAAAGTAATAAACGAATCATCTATTGCGAGGATCTGAATCGTGGGCAGATGAAAAGGCCATTTCTACGCGTAGTTACCTTATCTTTGTTTCACCTCATAGACAAAGAATTATTACTTATTCATATCAGGGATTCCCAAGTCATGAAATAACATTTTCCGTTCTGGCTGTTTACTTAGAATTAAAAAATAATTTATTTTATAAATACATTGAATGAAAAACTGTCATGCAATAAATTTAAAAAAATCAATGTAAGTGACAAAATTAAGATTTTTATATATTTAGAGTTTTTGTATAATAAGCTACATATCGCAATTTTTTTTTCAGAAATCAAATTTTTTAATAAGTTTTTTGGAATTCTATTTAGCATTCATAGCATTGGTAATAGAAAGAAAAAAGTTGTCGATCCACTTTTTTCGAAATCTATCGTGAAGGGCTTACATTGTGCTTGGACTTACATTGCATTACATCAGTAAAAATAATAAACATAATAAATAAAAAAAACACAAATTAAAAATAATAAAATATTAAATCAAATAAGAGTTATCCAGAGTTTGAAATAGTTTGAATTTTGTAGGCCAGTTTTTTTTTTCAGTCAGCGACGAGGGGAATTAAGCTTTCATGACTAATCAGAAATTTAGACGAAGTAGCGAATGCCTCCCCCCCCCCTCCTGCAAAAAAAATTCCTGATACGATCGAAATAATTAAAACTGTTGTTTACTTGTCAAAAGTTTTTCATAAAAAGCCATCTTTGTGTATCAAAACCTCTTAAGCTTGATTTGAACAGTCAGCAAAATTAAAAATTGATTCACCCTTAATATTTTTTGATCAAATGTTATTTTCTCGTTCCATGCCTCCTTGTGAAAATGAATGTTAGAAAAACTCCTAAATTTACTCGATTTAGATTTTCATTTAGGAAAGAAGACTTCCAGATTCTGATTTTTTTTCTGTTCATGTAGTTTCTGTAAGACTTAAGGCTATATGCTACAGTAGTTAAAACGTTTGAAGTACGAATATTATATATTGACAAACATGAATCTGAAATTTTTTGATGTACGGCATGAAGTATTGCGATAATTTTAACAAATAATAAAAAAAAATAACTTTTCCAATTTTTTATATTTAATGAAAGCTTTGATTAATAATTTTGTTAAAGAAAAAGTAGTAATTTAAAATGCTAGAAACTGTTTAGAAATTTGATTTGTAATAATTTCAAAGATTGAAGCTTTGAATATAACACTCTGAAATCTTAGCTTTATAGTAAAAGAATTTCAACTATTAAAACAAAGCTAATTTTCCTTAAATAACCGATAAAATATATGTTGATTCAACAAATGTTTGGCGACCCAAATTGTTTAATCTGTCAACTTTGTAAGTGTAACAAATCTAAACTGAATTATATCCAGTGTCCAATTTAGAAAATCTAGGAGCACCCCGCCCCCGCAAAACTGCCGGTGTCTGCGGGTAGGGATGTTCAAATCAAGCTGGCTGATCATCATTTCTAACAAAATATACATATTGTTCGTTTGCAAAGTCCTTTTAAATGATTTGTACCATAAGAAAGTTTTAGATGAATATATAAAAAGAATTCAAGCTTATATTTATTTTAATTTTTTTTACTCAGAAGTTTAGTCCGAAAAAAAAAAATACTGTTTACAAATTTCAAAAGACACCAAGAAATTTGTGTCCTCTCAAGACTCTAACCAGGCTTTTATGCAATTTTATTTCGTACGAAGATCTGTCAGATTACACTAAACTAATTATTCATTAATTAGTTAAATTTATTTTATTCAATTCTGAACAACAATTCAGAAAAAAAAGAAATTATTCAGACACTTTTTCTAAATGAAAATCAAAACGCAATATTTAAGAAAAATTACGGCATAAGTTTTGAGTAATTCGAATTTCTAAAATATGAAATTACCATTAAAATTGAAACTAAAGATTCTTAATATCAAAATTTCATTAAATTATCTAAAAGGTATAAAATTTAAGAAATGAGAGCAGAAACTAATTGTAAAATTCTCTCTTATTATTATTTAATATGAACAATGTTGATTTGAATATAGTAGCATATTTTTACAAGTAGTATATTTATTAACATCGTATAAAGTTAAATTACAACATGGAAATAAAATCATACAAAATAAAACATTAATGATTTTTTTTAAAACTGAATTTAAGAAGAAAATGAATGAAAACTTAAAATTAGCTAAAAATAACAATAAAGTTTAATTAACTTAAATTGATACCTCTAAACATGAGCTCATTGGAAGCAATCTTTCTATGTGAATGCAGTAAATAATCTTCTTTAGTAAAATATCCAAAAATAAAAATTGTCTTAACTAGATCCAAATATTCAATTTCGTAAATATTCCAAATAAAATGCACTAAACTAAAAGTCTCCGAGTTTTTATAAATAAAACTTTCTATGAAAAAAACAAGTAACTCATAAAGCCACTGAAGAAATTTTACTGCGAGAAGAAACCAAAAAGAGTTTCTTACTGCGAGATACACTAAAAAGAGTTTCATTCATTCTCAAAAGTAGTGCGGCCTTCTCAATAATAACAGATTTCACACTGAGTATGCGCAGTAACGAGGTTGTTTCTTAACTTTCAAGCTTTACAAAGCCGATTTTCAACTTTCTTCGTGTCACATTAATGCACATCACAATTTTGAAATGTTTATATTTTAGATACAAATCAGATTTTTTTTCTTACATAGGAAAATATAAAGTTATATAGTAATACAGTGAAACTTCTCGGGAGCGACCACTCATTGTTCCATAGTAAAGTGTTATCTTTTTCTTCCATTCGAAAATATAAAGTTATTTAGTTATACAGTGAAACTTCTCGAGAGCGACCAGTCGCTGTTCCACAGTAAAGTGGCTGTTCCACAGTTAAGTGTTTTTTTTTCTTCCATTCGAAAATATAGAGTTATATAGTTATACAGTGAAACTTCTCGGGAGCGACCNTTTTATAAGTTATCAATTTAAGTGTATGCATATTTTTATAGACTTTATACAAAGTCAGGAGAAAAAATTTTATAATAGATATGCAAATATCATTCAATCTAAGCTTAAATTTTTACAAGGCTAGATGCCACTTAGTATTCATTTGAGAAAACACAAAATAATAATACAAACGGAAATAAGAGTGCTCAAATTTTGGAAATATCTAAATCAGATCAGACCAACCCAAATGATTTAAAAAGCCACTTTGCTGATGAGAAACTTTTAAGTGAGCTGTACTTCTGATAAACATGTTTTTGAAAATATAATACTGTGGCAGTGACTAAGATTGGAAAGAGAGAGTTTGTGCCAACTACAATCGCCACAAAGTTCATTGATAAACAGATCACATACTATGGTGTCTTTCTATAATGTCCAAATCTATTCTACGTTTTATGTTATATATGTGTCTAAGTTAACAGTGTGGTATTAATAAACAAACCACGATAATACAAATACAGTGAATCCGCAGTAAAATCCCTGTTAATGGAGATTGTGGTGGTTCTTAGGTGTTACCTCCATCGATTTTAAAATGATATAGAAGGTACATGATTTTTTGCAAACGATTTTAACTTTAGTCAGTGTCATTTTTTCGGGTGCCACTTGTCAAAATTTAGCGTCAATAAAAATTATTCTCACAGACATAATTATTGTCTAAAAACAAATTTACCAATTATGAATGATAGAACTATTTTAAATAAATAAACAATTGTATTTTTTGCATTTAATTTTGTATCATAAAAATAAGTAAACTTGATTTGTGTGTTTGAGATGCTCAGTTTTTTCTAAAACAACTTTTTTTTTTATTTAACTTTCATCTCTAAGAATAAATCATTGATAGCATCGTCTTTAGTGCACTAAGACTGCTACATGAGGTTATAGATCTCTTTCAGAGATCGTCAAAAAGGGCTCTCCAAATAAAAGCCTCATGCAAATATTTGAACACATTTTAATCTATTTATTTGTTTTGTTAATATCCTTTATTTTTTTGTGTTTTCTTATTTGACCTTTTCCGCATTTGGTGCAGAAGTTTCGCCCGGTCGCTGGGAGACATTACGGGCACTGGGAGGTGTTATGCGGAAAGAAAAAAACCACGAAAATCTCTCATTATTAACCCGATAGCAAATGAGGGCTTCAACCCATTTTTGTCCATTTAATACTGGAGAATATCCGCGCTAACACTAGGATCTAATGTATGCTGGGAATAGCGTGTGTATTTATAAACAATTGTCAACAAAGATTGCCGTGCTGATGCAAATTATACCTTAGTAGAAACATTTTAGAGCTCTATTGGCATCGGGCTAATCACGAAAGGTCTTCGTGGTCTTTATCTCCGTTTTGCGCAAATGCTTATTAGTTTCGCTTAAAAGAATTCTTCAATGTGAATGCTACCTTGTTCTTTAAACAGGTGTTCTTTTGTCTTCTAGATTCAAGGCTAAGAAGTTGAAAATGAAAAAAGCTGCATATCCATTGAGTGGATTGGTGGTTAACGGTAACAAGTGGTAACCTAAATTATGAAAAAAAGTGAGAGCAGCGTAACTAGTCATGATCATGTTTTACCACAATGAAAAAAAAAATACCCGAAACAGTTTTATAAGCATTTTCATAAATTAAAATGCGTTATTTTTGAGTGAAACAGCAAACTTTTAGTGACAAATTGAAAATAATTTGTGTGTTTCAGCAACTATACCTCGATATTTTTTCTATCGAAACTAATAAAAAAACTTTTTATCAATTTCAAAAATACTTTTAGATGAAATGAAATAACGTAATATTTTGACCACAATCAGCGTTACATAAAAGAATACATTTTTTAAAATTAAAAAATTATCAAGTTCTCTCCAATTAAAGCGATAGATATCGGTAAAACATCTACTTCGCAATATTTGAGCTCACGCAATCTCTAAATCGTTTTTGATCGGTTTTCAAACTAACAAGGCTAGATAAAATTTGATGCCAGTTTGTTCCAAAATAAGGTCGCTAAAATTTTATTTCTTGAATCTAAGCCTAAATGCATGTATATTTATTTATCTTTACCAATAAAATTATATTCGTTGATAAACTTTAAAAATCCTCCGTGAAAACAAGCAAATGCTAGGTCACGAAAATCATTTAAAAAAAATTTTAAAACAGAATCAAATAAATAGACCCCAAAAACTTCGTGAGTTATGTCTTCACAAACATACTTAAGACATAGAGATTGGGGAAAAAAAACGTATAAGCTTAAAAGCTCATTTACTCAAATTCACTAAAATGTCACTTAGCTGCTTCTTCCACTAAGCTCTTAAATTGTGTATATATATACTAGTGGGCTCCGCCCTCTGCTCGCTACCGCTAGCCAACCCCCGATAATTGCTACGCAATTGCATTTTTGTTTGCTTCGCGAACAAAATTAAAGTTGTTTTCCTGGAGATTAACTGGAAATTTTTCTGCACCAACATCACATAGACAGAATATGATAGCATTGTAAAATGTCAGAGGTCCTTAATACCAGAATTATAAACTTATATACAGCAATTTTAATGCAAACAATATTATAAACTTATATAAAGAGAGGAAGCAATATTATTTGACCCATTACTATCGGGCATTAGCCGGAGATAATAATCTCCGTATCCGCAGCACGAGTGGCAGAGCGTACCTCGAGTAGACTATATTTGAGGGTGCCCCTTGATTCTCACTAAGTTGTGATCGCGAAGCTGGGCGATGTTGAAACCCAATCGTGATTCTGATTGGTTTAGATTTTAGCGTTATTTTTAAATGTTCAACGGTATATGTAATTTCAGAGGTCCGTTAGTTCTACGTTGGATACCGGCCGGTAAGGTTACTTTTGCCTCTGGTCAATAAGATCGAAGGTGGCAGTCATAATAAGGGACTTTAGAAAAAAAAATGTCATCGCCAGTCCGGTACCACAGACGACATTTTCGATTCGTATTTCGCCGAATTTATATTCCGATGGAGGTACACAGATTCTATTCATGATAAATTTAGACAGTATCTAACTGCTATTAGAGAATTCGGTGCATCTAAATCTGAGGATATTCAAGCTTAACGAAGAAGTGAGTTGTTTTTTTCCTTTTCTTTCTGTGCTTACTCCATTAATTTTTGTTTCGATTCAAAATGCATTTTATTGGGTTTATTAATTTTGCTCATATCGGGTTCATTGCAATTTTATAAAGTTTTGGCCGATGTTTTGTTGAAATTTTCCAATGTTTTATTGAAATATCATTACTTGGCAGCCATTCTTGTAACCACGGTGTTCCGCGCAAACAGGAATGGCGCCNATGTTATTGCAATAATCTCTCAATATTTTAGGTGTGAATTTGCCGGTATTTGAAAGTTTCCAAAATGGTGTTGATAGTAAGTTTAATTAATATTTTTTCTCACACTCAATTGAAATTTAATTTTATATTTAACTTAATGTTGTTCTTTCACAGCTTATGAGTTGGCAGGCTTAGCCAGAGGTGGTCAACAACTTGCTAAGTTGAAAAAGAACTATGCCAAAGCTATTCACTTGCTTGTGGATCTGGCTTCTTTACAAACCTCTTTTATAACTTTGGATGAAGTCATCAAAGTTACCAATAGGAGAGTTAATGCTTTGGAACACGGTAAAAAAAAATCTTATTTTTATTGCTATCCCTACTACTTTTTGAATGTCAATGTATAATTATGTTAAAAAAATGTATAAATAATAATTCAGTATTATAAAGTAAGTAATCTACTATTATAAATATATCAGGAAATGTAAGCTGCTATATTATTTTTCTTTTATAAGGCAATGATAAATTTTTAATTTATATGCTTGTGTTACTTGCCAACAGGTTACTTGCACATTATTGATATTTTTCTAAATTTAATTTCGCATATCTATTTAATACATTGAATTTTTTTCTGTTGATAATGTTAATTTAATTATTAACTTATATTTCAGTTGTTATTCCTAAAATTGAGAGAACAATTGCCTACATCACTTCAGAGTTAGATGAAAGGGAAAGAGAAGAGTTTTATCGGTAAATATTTTAATTAATTATTACAGTATCATTTGTTTTTATGTTTATTTAATTTTTGAACGACTGAGTGTTTCTCATTCGGGTAAATATATCTTGGAATTTCTCCTTTATACACAATTTTTTCATTGAATATAACAATGAAATAAACTTTTTGCCAGAAAAATACTACAGGGGAAAGGATTTCCTTCAGTGTTGCAGATATGTTGGTGGATAAAAATATTTTTTATGTATATTATTCTTGATATTTTATATGTAAATTAAATTTTTAAGGCATAAAAAAATATTAAAGTTGTTTATATTTATGTAATTCGTATTAAATTTATTTAATAAATATGCTTATCTGTATTTTATAACTATATACAACATATAAATATAAGGATACATTACTTAGCACTATGAATATACCATTTCCACTTATTGTGATATTACTTAAAAATGTTTGAGTATATCCTAATCTTCTAGCACTCATGATTCTCTTTATTTTAATACATAATTTTAAAAGAAATCATAAGCTAATAGGAATTAATTTTTCATCAACTACTTTAAAAACATTTTTTTCTAACATTATGAATGTTTGCGTACATCATGTTTATGGCTAAAACGAAAATTTGTTAATTAAAACGAAAGTTTGTTAATTGTGTAAAATTTGTTGATATTTTTAGTAGTAAATTAATTTGTATTCCGTAACTATTTTAGCAAATACAAGGTCTTTGCTATTTTTTTATTAGATTTTACAAAATCCAATATTAATATGGAAAATATTGCTTGAAAATCTCCATTTTAACCTCAAGGGATTAATATTAACATAAATTTATCGACATATTCTAAAGCTAGCTGCTTTAGAGTTGCACATATTGTATCTTAATTAACAATTTAATTTCATTTCAAACTATACTGGTACAAACAAACAAAATCGCACATTTTATAAAAGAAAGCATTTAATGTAATGTGTAAATAAATCTATTAGTTCTGTAACTTAGTCACTTGGGGCCCTGAGACATAAATTTTTAAAATGGGCTCCTTTAGTTTTAATATCAATTAGTGATTTTTTTTAAAAAACAACAAAAATAATTTAAAATATTTAATTAATTTAGTAGTTAATATTCTTTATTATCCATATATTTTTTTTAAATAGTGTTGAAAGATGTTATAAGGATTACGAGTCTTTTGGTAAATTTAGGCAGATTTTGTAACCTAAAATTTATTTTACATGCACAAGTTTTTAGTAATATTTTCTGTTTATAACACCAACTAATAAAATTGTTTGTGATATTTTATTTTTAATCGTTTTAAAAGATAGTCATGCTTGATAATATGTAGTTTCAGTGTAACCTATTTTAAAGAATTTAAATAACAATTGATTTTTGTATTAAAATTGAATTATTCTCTCTCAAATGTATCTGGTCAAAAGTATTTGGACAATCTCATATTTTAAAATCTTTCGCCACACTTTATTTTTAATTTTATAAAAAGCATAACATTAATTGGAAATTAATCTTTAAGCACTAACGTAGAGCTCAATTGTATATATATTATTATTATTTTTTTCAGAATAATTTCAATTTTGAAGTATTTATCTTTGTTTTAACTTTGTGAATTTCAAGATGCAGTAATAAAAACTTGAGGAAACAATTACAAAAAATCTTAATTTAATTAATATGGACACTGGACTTCACAACAACAGTTCAATGATTTAACTGCAATGCCTTGTGCATAGTTAGCTTTACAATTTTAAAATGTAAAAAATTGCATATTAAATTATTTCTAAAAGTCACAAATAATTTAAACAGATTAGTTTTTTTTTTCAAATAGTTTAATGAGACATATTTAATCATACAGGAGAAAAATTAGAAACAGAAAAATTTACCTAACTCTTGCACGTTTCTTTTTAACTACTGATCAACGTCATTAATTGCCACAAAGAGCCACCATTTGACGATTAATGCCTGCGTGTGATTATCTTTTGCCTCTGAAAACTATACTACTATTTATTTTGTTATCAATATGTCTCATGTGATGTCAGAGTGGTTAGCATGCCTGACTGCGGGTTCAATTCCCGTTCAGGGCATGGATGTTTATCTGTGTGTTGTTCTCTGATGTGTGAATATGGCACTTCTTATCAACGGGTATCTGTGGCAGTGTGGCGTAGGTAATGTATCTCGTCTCTGTGAGTTTGGTTCACAGGCACGCACTGGATAAAGATAAATGAGCAACACTATAAATGAGCAAAAAAATTGCACAGTTTTTTATTCCCTTTAAATGCTCTCATGTGAACTGTTTAATCGGTTATGTTGGCAATCTGCAGTGCTCCACTCCTACGATCCTTTATAAGCCTTAATGGTGGAGTCCACTATGCTGGATGCTGTATATCCACTTTTTATTTGAGTAATGCTTACAGTTAAATGTGAAAAGGTTTTCGTTAAAGTTTTTAATACAAGTATAAATTTTATTCAGCTTAAAGAAAATCCAAGGAAAGAAAAAAATTATGAGGGCTGAAAATGAAAAAAGAAAGGAAGCTTTGAAAGCTGCTGGAGTTGAAGTGGATTCTGCACCTAATTTGCTTGCAACAGACGATGACAGTGATGTACTATTCTAGTCGTTTTTAGAAAACAGTCTATATGTTTAATTTATGAAATTTAATCAGATTTTATAATAGCTGTTGTCAAAGGGAACTTTTTTGAATTTATTATTAGAGGTGTATATATTCTAGACATTTTTGGCACAGCTGATACTCAAATCATTATTCAATGTTTGAAATATCTTATGTCTGTCTCAATACAAATGATTGTAATGTATATTATGTTAAAAGGAATTATTGAAACAGTAAGCAACTTTCTATTTCTAATCATTTTTTTGTTACATTGACTATTAAACGGAATATGTGTCAAATGTTTTTGTATAATTTTGTTTCATTTTCTACTCTTTAATTGGTATTTTGATTTTATCTATTTGTAATTATATACCTTTCCATTTTTGTTTCAATTTTAGCTCATGCTTTGAATGTTAAGATAGTCTGTGTATGTTAAATTATTTAAATTGTACTGCATGCATATTATATTGATCATTTTTAGTTTACAAATATGTCGTAAATTTATGTTTTAAATTGATATTAAATTATCGGAAATTTTATAAATTACCATTACAGCATAAGATATTTTTATCTGTGTATTCTTTATTTTATCTTGTATTCTATTTTCAAAAAAAGAAGTGTTTGTCAATTAAAATATTAATAGAATTTTTTCTTTCTGCTCATTTCTTAAAAAAATATATATAGCACATGTCAGCAAATTTGTTCTACAGAACCCTAGGTTCCCATGAAGGGGTCACAGAAGTTCCAAGAATCAGAACAATTTTTAAATCCATAATGATTTTTGAAATCTGTAATTACAAATATATATAATCCAATAATCCATTGTTCGTTTGATATTTTGGTTATTTTAAAACAGTTAAGTAAAATGCCAGTTAATTGAAATGAATATATATACATTACATACATATACGGTGAAACCTCTCCGGAGTGACCACTCTTTGTTCCATAGTAATATGGTCGTAAATGGAGGTTGGTCATTCTTAAAGGTTACTACCATTCAATTCAAAAGGTATATGATTTTTCGCAAGCGATTTTAATTTTATTCAATGTCAATTTCTTGGTACGGAAATGCCACTTGTGTTGGCGAGGGTTGTTTGTATGAAATGTTAATTTTTTTTTTAATAACTTCCTTTTTCTAATTTAACTTTTAATTCTAAATTTAATTATTTTTGGAACTATCTTTATTTGAATCTTAATTTAAGTTAATTATTTTTAATTAAATTTATCATACATTAAGAAAAAAATTTTAAATTACAGCATAGTATTGTTTTATTAAGCTTATTGTATTGTTGTATATAGTATTGTTGTTTTATTAAGCTTAGAGACTAAAATAAAACATTCGACAATTATCAATGATTTTATTTCATCATAAGAAAATAATACCAACACCTTAGATTTTTAATAAAAATCTCAATAGGTAGTTGACTAGGAAAACTCATACAAAACAAATTTGCCATTATAAACTGCGAAACTTTCCAGAACATTCTAATTTCCAACAATCCAAACTTTCAGCCTAAGCGGTGGCGTTCTTTAATTTATTCAAGAATATAAAATAACTGCTGTAAAATTACTTCTAGGCGAAACAAACTGGAAACATCTTTTGACCTTTTTACTAGTTTTCAACAATTGATTATCAAACATTTTGATGTTTTCACCAAAGTTATAGACTTCTAATCTACTTGAATTTCTCCATTGTGTTGCTCATAATTCACACATATCCTAGTTTCAGCACAATAGAACTATTTCGATAGTGTACAGATCATTTAGATTCTATTCCAAAAAAAACTGTCTTATATATTTAATTTCACAGCGTGCTTTTAAGTATCATGAGAAAATATAAGAGCACTTTTGTTCTTAAAATTCATCAGAAGAGTCACAACAATCTCCCAATAGTCTTGCTTGATCAGAAGGTCTTAGGCTTTTTATTGAATCCTGCGAATGTATGAATTGTGTGAATACATGAATTAATAAATTATGTGAATAAATGCAGGATGTTAAACCATCTTTAATACATGTTTTTAGAACTCTTGTCAAAAATCAAAGGCCAAAAAGTATGCAGGTTAGGGGTTGCAAATTAAACGAGGAAAAAACATTAAAAGATGTCGAAATATTAGTGAGGAATGCAGGGCGAAAAACATTAAAAACAGTTAGATTATCCGATTTGGAAGTGTTTTTAATTATTGCTTTTCAACCACTTTTTTTTTCCGCAATCAAGTTTTTGAGGCCTCGCCTTTCTCACTGGTGATCCATAAGATTTCGATAACGTCTTCGTTACTTCATTTAAATATTTTGCATTCACTATTGCGCATACTTTTTCGCTTCATTTTCGACAAGGATTCTACAAACCATATCCCTACCAGCAATTTCACCTTGGGCTCGAAATTGGGTCCGGGTCCAACATGAACATATATAGGTCCAATATCGGAAAATAACGATCCTTTGAACACTTATTGAGCCAAGNTTGACCATTTTACTAGTTTTCAACAATTGGTTGTCAAACATTTTGATGTTTTCACCAAAGTTATAGAGTTCTAATCTACTTGAATTTCTCCATTGTGTTGCTCATAATTCACACATATCCTAGTTTCAGCACAGTATAACTATTTCGATAGTGTACAGATCATTCAGATTCTATTCCAAAAAAAACTGTCTTATATATTTAATTTCACAGCGTGCTTTTAAGTATCGTGAGAAAATATAAGAGCACTTTTGTTCTTAAAATTCATCAGAAGAGTCACAACAATCTCCCAATAGTCTAGCTTGATCAGAAGGTCTTAGGCTCTTTATTGAATCCTGCGAATGTATGAATTGTGTGAATACATGAATCATATGAATTACGTGAATAAATGCAGGATGTTAGACCATCTTTAATACATATTTTTAGAATTCTTGTCAAAAATCAAAGGCCAAAAAGTATGCAGGTTAAGGGTTGCAAATTAAATGAGGAAAAAGCATAAAAAGATGTCGAAATATTAGTGAGGAATGCGGGGCGAAAAATATTAAAAACAGTTTGGTTATCCGATGAAATTTGGAAGTGTTTCTAATTATTGCTTTTCAACCACTTTTTTTTTCCTCCGCAATCAGGTTTTGAAGTTTATGATCCGCGCCTTCCTCACTGGTGATCCATAAGATTTCGATAGCGTCTTCGTTTCTTCTTCATTTAGATATTATTTTGCATTCACTATTGCGCATACTTTTTCGCTTCATTTTCGACAAGGATTCTAAAAACCATATCCCTAGCAACAATTTTACCTTGTCCCCTGTTGAGCTTGAAATTATGTTTCAATATTGGATACTACATGAACATATATAGGACCAATATCAGAAAATAATAGCCCTTTGAACACTTATTGAGCCAAGATTCGTGAATATTGGTCAAATGAGCATCCAAGTTATTTTGCTGCTAGGGTATGTTACGGGTGGACATTACAGAGCACCCTGCATTAATGTTGTAATTTTAAATAGTCCCAATGCAATCTGCAGTTTATTATACATGGACAGTTGGTAATAAAATAAATATAATTTGTTTTAAATAATTTGCCGTCAAGCTGACCGAGGGAATTTTTTTGGTTAGGTTTTTTCTACTCCCATTCACGGACATGCTGGTTACTTTTCTTCAATAGGTCTATCACGAAAGTTATGTTTGTTCAAATTTCCTTATTTTATGTGTCGTGTGCCAAATTTTCAAGGCCACTGAGCTGCCATGATAATAACAGCACATCCACTGTTGCAGTTTCTATCATCCATGATAAATTAAAATATATTTTGATATTAAATTAAACAAAAAAAATTTAACTAGCAAGAAAGATATGAACTTATCAGTAGATAAAATGGATGGAGATTTTTAGCATTTTACACCTTTTTTTATGAAGAACATTTTCGAATCCTATATTTTTGTGTGGAATGGATTTCGAATTAAAATGTATTAACTGAATTATCAATGATGTAAATACACCTAAGAGCCATTACATTATGACCACACTCCATCTATAACAATGGACTCGCCCAGGAACATTGTTTTCATGGGGCACATTAGGACCCATAATCCTCATAGAACAATCCCTGACGTCTGTAAGCTACTTGAACATAGTTGCAGACCAGGTTCACCCATTCATGGCAACAGTTTTTCCTGCGGGGGATGGTGTTTACCAACAGGATAATGCACCATGTCATAAGGGTCGAATCGTCGAGGAACATTGCAGTGATTTTCAAGTCATGTCTTGGCCCCCAAATTCACCTGACCTTAATCCAATAAAGCCCTTTGTGGTCCTACTTGGAAAACCAAATTCGTGCTGCCACGCTACCCCCTCGCAATGTGTGGGAATTGCAGGACCAGTTGGTGAGCACCAGATACCTCAGATTACCTATCAGCACCTTGTGGAATCAATGCCACGACGGGTGCTAGCAGTTTTGAGGGCTAAAGGTGGTCCTACATGTTATTTCGGGTTATACACCGAAGAGCCATTTCAGGGTCATAATGTAATGGCTCTTCGGTGTATAATATTTATTCATTGTATTCTTTTGTAAAAATTTACAAAACAGAATCAATGTGGTATTTTTACTCTTCTATAATATTCAGAAATCTTAGTTATTTTAATAAAAATTGTTTCAGATTTGTAGAAAGATCATATAGGAAGACGATTACAATATGTATAAGATACCTTATGTACCAAGTTTCAGAGAACAGCGTTGAAAATTTTATTAATTAAAACGTTTTTTTTTTTTTTAGCTGAATTTAATTTATTATGTATCTTATGCTATAATTTTTTCTAAAAAAATCAGTTTAACTTATAAAGTTTTGGATATAAATTAGGTCAAGAATAATGTTCATTGCATAAAAATTAAAATGTGTATTTTTAGGCATGCAGAAAATTAGGTCTATATTTAAAAAAAAAACAAATATTCGATTTTAAAGGACTACAGTTTACAGCAAATAATTTTTTTAAAAAATGCTTACCGGTAGAACTCTTTTTCTAAATCTCCTTCGACGGCATTTTTTCTTGATACATCGACATGTGGCAATGGTAAGAATAATTACGAGAGCAAACAAAACTCCAGCAGCAATTGGTACGAAAATACTAAGCATGTAAGGATCTCCCTGTTATGAATTAAAAAAGAAAATATACTAACATTTATTTCAAAAAAAATTAGCAGTAGTAATATATTCATAATCAGATAACAATCTATTATGCAAATATGTTTAATAAATTGATATAACTTAAACTAATTATTCTGCTTGACAGTTGTTTTTCTAACATGAATTGAAAAATTTGCATACGAAACTAAAAGTTCGGAAAGTAATTTTGTTCCCACTCCCCCACAGAGGACTTAATTATATTTTTTTCACAGCACATTTAAGCAGCACAATCATTATATAGTTTGAAATCTTATATAGCAACTATTGTTTGAGAAAAAGTTCGATAGATTCTAAGCATTAGATTTTGGTTGGTGCCCTTTCAACTATGGAAAGTGAAAAGCAGAATTTTCAGCTTATTTTTCAATTGAAAAGGGAAAAAGTACTGTTATCCGATGTGTTTGGAGAAAATTTTTTAGCAGTACGCCAGTGCCAAAAATTGGTTGCAAAATTTCGATTAAGATGTACGAAGAGGCACCACTCCAGTTGTATGATATAGCTTAGAGAGTAAATTTATTGAATTCGACCGTCTTGTGCCGCTTGCCAATACCTGCAAGCCTACTTGAGAGCAAGCGAATTTTTTAAAGCAGGGGGTGCGTTTGTTGTTTTTTTTCAGTGGCGTCACCTATGGGCAAGAATGAGACTTCAGACACACACACGTCACAGCCCGTTTTTTGGTAAGACCCAATCATACTCCATTTATTCATCCACAGATCGTAATTTTGACCTGAATCAGAGGACGATCAATCTCCAATTCAGTACAACCAGAGGTAAATATTTGTTGTGGGAAGTTGAAGGACTTTTTGACCCGGACATATTTAACGTGCACCAGTGACTATTTAATACATGGGGATTCTTCGGCCAGTGGGATTCGAATTCACGAACACGAGCCCAACGTCTTACCAACCAGGCTTCCCCGGGCATTAATTCGACGTTCACGATCATTTGAAAAGCTAAAAAGTTTAATCTCAAAGCTCGACATATGGGTTCCTCGTGTTCTTGCGGAAAGAAATTTGCATCTTTCATTTTCATAAAAAAAAAATTACTTTAAGAACAAAGATTATTCCTAAGTTTAAAATATGTCTTAAGTTGTAAATATTACAGAAACTGAAATACTCTTGAAATTTCAATCAACTTTATCGTTATGTAATATGATTTGAAAATTATCATTGATGTTTGCTATTTTATTTTTCTCTGTTATAAAACAAATCACATCAGTATCCATCTACGTAAGAGATATTCAATTACTATTGAGTTAAGCATAGTCTCCATGATGGCATGAAACTTCTTGATATGATAAGCAATTATTCTTTCATGATATGATAAGCAATTATTCTTCTATTATAATAATTCTTCTATGATATGATAAGCAATCTGTGCATTAATTCAGATCAGGATTTGTAATAAGGTAATTGATAAAATAATAAAAATTACCACACAATACTTTTAAGGAAGTGTTTGACTTTAAACATCAAATCAAAGCATAAGCAACAAGTTAAATATAGCTTTATCTAACAGGTGTGTGTTCCGGATATGCATAAACCGTTGCCAAATATTAAATGTTTCGTAAATCAATCAGCAGGTGAATAAAAATAAAAGCGGCCATGTTTTCGTTTAATCATCTTTCTCTTACTTCCGTGAAAAAAATATTTTTTTAAAACAGATATGAATTTTTTTTTAATGTTTAGATATTGTACTAAATCATTAAAAACTCTCTCTGTGTTTTGCAGTAATAAAAAAAATTTGATAAAATAATCTATTAAGGAATCTAAAATTAATTTTATTAATTGTACAACTCCAAGCCATAAAAGTAATCATAAAGTAAAACCACGGTCCTTATTTCATGTAGACATTTTCAAAAATACATAGATATTTTTTTCAAAACATAAATTCGCAATCAAAATATTAAATAAATGCTATTCTGTAACTTACCATAAAGTCAGCAGTCTTTTGGTAAATAGTTTCTGAAAACATTAAAGATAATTTTGTTATTACTTATTATTTTATTAATGGAAACAACAAATATTAATTTCAAACTCTGACAGTCAAACATTTTATTACGACCCATCTCACACTGAGGATATTGCATGGCAGCAATGTGATTGGTGCGAGCCGGGAGCAGAACCAACCAACGCTGGAATTCGAACCTGGGTCATCTCATTGGAGGGTGTGTGTTCTATCCCCTGAGCCACCGCGGCTTTTTACAACATATTTTATTTTATAACCGTCGTTGAACAGCGGGCTCAATTTAGGGTTTACGACTATTAATGTTCAACTCTGTAGCCTTGTAATTTTGAATCCAATCCAGAGGACAAAGAAACTCCAGAATCAAGTATTGAGAGTAATTTGCTTTCGTGGAGACATTTTTGATGAAACTAACTCGCATTTTTACACGAAGAGGAAAACCTCCGACGGTTAACCTGACCTGGCAAGGGGACTCTAACCCATGATCTGTCTATCATTGAGAATATTTTACGTCAGCACTGTGGTCGGTGAGAGCCAGGTGTGGAATTAATATCGACATGTCATCGGTGGGATTCGAATCCGGTTACCTCATAAGGAGGCAAGTGCTCTATTGTCTAAGCCACCACTGCTCTCTTTACAACATATTTTATTTTGTTTCATAACCGTCGTTGAACAGCCGAACCAATTTTGGGTTTACGACCACTAATGTTCAACTTCGTATCCTTTTAACTTTACACCCAATCCAGAAAATAAAAGAACTCCTGGAACTGGGAGAAATTTGCCTTCGCGGAAGACTTTTGATGAACTAACCCGCATTTGAATTACACGGATAGGAAATCCACGAAAACCTCTCACAGTTAACCTGATAGCAAGGGGTTTACAACATATTAAAAAATTTATAACTTCGTAAACTTATGAGCAATGAACTTTGATACAAACTATGAGGATATTAAATAAACTACAAACTGAAATTGTGAACTTCGTTTAGTTGACCCTAAAATTGATTTTTCAAAAAACTTTTCCTATAATTTTTTAAAATTTAATATATTAATGGAATAAATTATTAAAAAACAGTGAAAATAAATTAATTTAGCCAGAAAAGCCTTTATGAATTTTCAACTTGGCAGGAAAATATGGAGAAAAGATCCTATTCCTCCAATAAACGTGTTTTGTTTTTTTCTATTCCTTTTATGCAATTACAGTGAAAACAGTTTTACAGATTTTAGAGTATTCTGATTATTTTTCCAATATTCGAAGCCTAAACAAAAAATAAAAAACGTAAATTTTTTCTGAAATAGATTTTTTTGTTAAATAAAAATTCATATATGCAAGTTCAATATAAAATAATTTAATTGTTATTAAACGTAGTTTTTCGATTTTATTTCACGTACAAACTATAATGTCACCAATCAAAACACAATTAGAACCAATGAGGAGGAGAAAGTAAGAAAATGACTTAATCCACAATTTAGGTAAATCCACAATTTAGAAATAACAGATGAATTAGAGTTCGATAATTTTATTTTACTTCTTCCCAACCGGTATTGTTAATTACTATGGATCTAAAAATAAAAACAGCGCTGTTTCAAAACGACATTGACTCCGTGTTTCACCTACTTTTTTTTTTTTTCTTCAGAAAAAACTCCTTTTCTAAAATTACCCCGATTTGGATAAAATTTCATATTATTTTTTAACCGAAAAATAGCATATTCAGCTTTATTTATTTATTTTTTTTTTTTTTTTTTTTTTTTTTTTGCAAAAATATTTTAAGTTAAAAGGAAAAAAAAACAGGTCATAGAATTTAGAAATCACTATAAATTGAAGGAATCGGAATATTTTTCTCCACAATTATTAAATTTTTTTTAAACGTAGATCATATTATAGCGACATTATAAATTATAGGTTTGGGAAATATAATGAATCATAATTGTAAAACATGTGTGACAAATAAAATTTTAAAAAAAATATTCACATAGATTTTGGGACAATTTTATAACGAAACGGTTAATGAAAAGCTAGGGGCACAAATACTTCTTGTCAAATTAAAACGAAACAATAAAATGAAGAGCATGGTGAATTTACAGATGAATGTTTTTAAATTTTACAGAAGAGTGTTTTTGGTGGGCAAAGAAACTCCATTTCCGTTTATGTAGGGAGATATTTCTATTTGCTGCGATCAATTGAAACATTTGGAAACCTGTAAAGTATCTATCTGGAAACAATTCAAAGGAACAGTTCCATGATATACAAATATAACCTTTCGTAATAGTGTGAGTTGCTACTATATTTCACCAATGCCTACCATTTTTATGGGTGTTAATTGATGCCTTTTCAAACTTCCACTCCCCAAAATGAACTGTGGGTTAATATCTATATCAAAATGCTACTTACTTGTAACGTAAGTAAAAGTGGATGGCTGTTTCAAAACTACTTCTTCGGGTTCTTCTGTTGTTACATTATTTAAGCTGCTATCAGTTTTATTCCAAACTTGGTTCATCTCTGCAGTGACGGTGGACGTCTGAGTAACTGAAGAGGATTTTTCAGCACTTGTAATAAGTTGGCTACTTGGTACATTTACTTCGACTTCAGAACCGTCCATGACTACGTCTGTCAAATTAGCATTCATCAACAATTCGTTTGATGTGTTTTGCTGATTTGAAGAAATCATGTCGAACATTTCATTTAAGGCAGTAAGAGTTGAATTGTAATCGACATCATCGATAAGCGAAAAGGTCGCGTTCTCTAGTCTGTCCTCATTCTCAATTAAATTTTTTGACGAAGATGATGTCTGAATATTTGCTGATTCGACGTTTTTCGTGAAGGCACCGAACAAATCTTTGAATTCAAAGCTTTGACATCCCAGAATCTGAACGGCACTCAGAATTACTAAGAAAATGCCTCGAAGTTTCATTTTGTGTACCACCTAGTCCAACAGTAAATGTCTTGAATAATTTCCTTTGATGGCACCTGCTTGAAAAACCTATAAAAAACACAAAAATTAAATTTGAATCGAAGAAAGGCGAGAGAAAATTTTTTGCAATAAAATACACTAAAACTGAATGATCCTTACAGTTCTAGAATCATTCATAAATTTGATTATTTTTTAAAAAGTGTCGATTTTTCAGTTTGTGTCTTTAAGCAGGGGTCTGTCTAGACATTTTGTGAAAGGTCCGTTTTTGTAAAATTGTGAAAAAATTATTCGTAATTTGTGAATATAAAATAAAGGTTAAGTCACATTCTCTCAACCAGGGTCCGCTTTTATGAATTTGTGCAAATAGGATCCGTTATTGCAAAAATCTTTTTCAAGGAGTTTTTAACTTGTAAAGACATACAAGATTATGCTCAACAGTGTAAAATTATAATTAAAAAAATTTAATTGTAAAAAATTAACAGCAATTGCAGCTACTAAATTAGCGATGCCAACATATAAATATTTGGTATTTACCCTATACTGCTGAATGCAGAATATTAATTTCGGACGAATAAAGGAAGAAGCTTCTGCCGAAGACAAAATTTAGTTCATTTACATCTGTCTTTCTCTCCCCCCCCCTTCCTGGGAAGGGTTTACTCGATTAACAAAACAATAATGAAGATAAACAAATTTGTGAAGGGTCCGATCAAAAGATAAATTATTTTGTGAAGGGTCCGTTTTCATGAAAAGATATTTTGTGAAGGGTCCGGTAACGGACCCAAATTTCTTCTAAACAGACCCCTGCTTTAAGAATTTGTTAGATTTAACGATTTCTCACCTCAAATGATTTAAAATACTTCTAAAACAAATGAATCTGAAAAAGACAACTTTTGAAAGTAAGCATGTCATGATATATTAAATTAACTATAATGTTATATTTTATCACCGACAGTGAACATGGATGTTGTACTTGCAGCTACCAAATTTCAACTCTGCAGCCTTGTAATTTTGAACCCAAATCAGAAAACACGGGATTGTATTAAACACGTGTACAAACTCGCCTTCGTGGGGGATTTTTGTAAATTTTTTTTTTATAAAACGAACTTGCATTTGCGTCGCAGGGGAAGGAAAACTACGAAACCCTCTCGCTAAATATTTTCCGTCAGCAATGTGGTTGTTTCAAGTCCAGAAACAGTATGTGAATTAACCAGCCATCATCGGGACTTGAACCTTGGTCGACGAATCGGGAGTAGAGTTGGGTATACTGTAATTCGAATAACTAACTTGCAACTAATTCGAATCAATGATCCAGATTAATTAATTAATTTCATCGAAATAGATTTAAATTATAATGCATTATTGTTACTTTAGTTTCACAGTGATGCTGTGTTGAAATTCTCGTATAACCTTAAAGATTCTTATGCACTAAAATCACAATTAAAAAAATAAATAAAAACAAAAATAGTAATACAATTACTTTGTAGTTTCTTAAAAATTGCCACAATTAAAGGTATTTACAGTATATGGCAACAGATATAACTCTCTCCTTCGGTTCACCTAAAATATGCTAATTATTTACATCAAACTATATTTCCAGATATAGTAAGTCTTAAGTAAGTGAAAGTTTACACGTAAATACTTCAAAAAAGATTTACAAATAACTTTATTACACACACTTAGGTTATTAGAATTAACTTTAACAGCTAAGAATGATTAAGCATACTCCCACAGCTGGTTTCTGATGAAATATCTAACCACATACAATTATTATACAGAATAAAATATTTTAATTTTCACTAACTACCACACACATACGTCACAACCCGTTACAGACCCATTTATACACAAATCGCAATTTTGACCTGAACTAGAGAGCGATCAATCCTCAATTCGGTACCCTCAGAGGTATGATTTGTTATGGGAACATGGAGGATTTCGTGACTCAACAGATTGAACGTGCACCAGTCACCATTTACTTCACGGAGGTCTTTGGCCGTCGGGGTTCAAACTCACGACCTGTTGGACATGGGCCCAACAACCTACCAGCCAAGCTATCCCGGCCCAATTTTAATTATATTGAGCTTATAAAATTTGAATTAAAATTGACAATGAAAAACATCTGCAATATAATAGCGAAGCAAATAATTGATAGTTGAATTTTTATAATATTGTTTCTGATGACTTATAAATATTTACAATCTGAAGGTAATAGAAAAAACACTTGTAAAATAGTAAACCAAAATAATATTTAAAATTGAAGGGATTTCTATTAAGAAGCAACATTTGAGCGATAATAAACAGTTTTAACTCCTTTCTTAATTAATAAACAATGTTTCTATTTTTAGATTCATAAACAAGAATCTTTCTCGCTATGGTCAGTGTTTAAAGATATTAGTAGGTGTTGAAATAACTGTGTTTCGACCTTGAAGACATGTTATTCTTTATAGGAACGAAACTTTAGTATGCCATGCCTGTTTTATCTCTTTATTTGTGCATTATTCACGTTTAGTTTTGTTCATATGTAACGCAATAGTTTATCCACTCTTCCATTTAATCCTATCCAAATGTTAAAATGAATACTTTAATTATAGGATAATTTTTTCAAAAAACGTATCGAAATTACCTTACTTACAAACCGAGTAAAAATTTTAATTCATTTATTTAAATTATTTAAAATTAAATCATAAATCGAAAAAAGTCTTGCTATGCCAATATTTGTGGGGGGGGATTCTATAAATGGGGTGTGATGTAAAAAATTTCGGTATAAAGTATCGGCATCTTGGGTACATCATTCGTAAAATTCCTTTTTACCGTAAAATACTATAGCGTAATTTTTACAGTAATATTTATTTAATTTGAGAGATTCAGTTATTTTACGGTAATTATTACTGTAAAAATAACGGTATGTCAGATTTTTTTCTCCGCAACACGTTTAGATAACCGATAAAAATGGATTTTACAGTAAAAAGTACCGGCACCCTGGGTGCCGGTACTTTTTTCCGTAATTTGATTCGGAATTTTTTACAGTATGGATTTCTAGAATCGTTTTCTAATTTTCAATTTTAAACTTCTTTTTGTGGAATCGATGTAAATAATGTTGTTGTCTAGATGTAATAAAACATATAAGGACAAATTTTTTTAAGCAACAAGTTTGCTCTACAACAATGGGTTGTCAGTTGTGAGCATTTTTTCAGAAAAAAGATAATGCATACAAAGTTTTCTTACATTTTAACATTCTGATACAAGAGCATATAAAACTTATTAAAAAGTAATCAATAACACAGGTCATCAAAATTAAAGTTATGAAATTTGCTTGTAATGTAACGATTGCTTTTTATATTGTTTGGCGAGTTGATTTCAAGTATATGGTATTAATTTCATATCAGTCACATAAGGTTTTTTTTTTCCAAAATGGCCTTATACATATATAGAGAAAAGGCCCAATTTGCATATTCTGTGGGTGAGGGTGAAACTAAACCATTGCTATACAGACAAGTGAGGTATTGTGTGTTTAGTATGCGTTTATGGTGCAATTGAATGAGATCAAACTCAAGTCGATATGGCAAATAGTTAAGACACGTGGTAATGTATAAAAATTACGGTTTTATGTAATAAAAAGTGCACTTTTGTTGTTTTAACTATTTTCGTGACAGGCAAGTGGAGGTGTTGTTTTAAGCATTTTATGTTCTGAATTGAATGAAACAGAAACAAAATCGATGTGATTAATAGTTAAAAAATTGTAGAAGTGTTCGTAAACAAAAAGTACAAATATATATTTACAAGTCTGGCGTTGCTACATAAGTAAGTAAAGAATTGTTTATAATGTATTTTTTTAATGTTTAGTCCAATAAAATTAAAATTAAACCAATAGAACTAACAGTTTAAAAAGTTATAAACTTGATAGGTATAAATCAAAAGTAATGATTTCCATACATGAACCCCTCATTTTTTTCCAAACTATTAATTCTACCAATTTAATTAATTTTTTTTTGTACTTAACGTAAAAAAAGTGTAGAAGAAACAATGCTCCCTTGCTCGATGGTTGTGTCAGATGCGTAGATAGGTTTAAGCCCAAAACGAGTATAAATGAGTACAGAACAGTGCTGTTTACTTGTAAGACAATAAAATTTTTTTTACTATTAGTAGGTTTGAGCCCAAAACGAGTATAAATGAGTACAGAACAGTACTGTTTACTTACAAGACAATAATAACTTTTGTACTATTAGTAGGTTTAAGCCCAAAACGAGTATAAATGAGTATAGAACAGTACTGTTTACTTATAAGACAATAATAACTCTTGTACTATTAGTTTTACCAACTTGGATTAATTATAATCGACTCTGATAAATAAAATAAGTTAAAAACCATGCCTAATTTGTATAGATAGAGATATTAAGGGCAATTTTGAAATATAACCCATTAAAATGTAAATGTTATTTCTTAAGTTGTTTTTATTTGTTTGTGTTTCAGATTAGCCCAAATATTTTAATTTTTGGCAAAACTGTCAACATATGACAGTAAATGCTTATAATTTTTTTAGTAAATTACAATACAATGTGATGACTACGAAAATGTAAATTTTTAATTAATAGAATACGTGATATACAAATTTTTCGCGAATTTTCCTGAAATCAAAATTCAAAAATTGATCAGAATCCTATATTGATTTTTAAATTTTATGGTCGCAGGCTGAGTTAAATTAATCAAAAATACTTTAACTAATAGACTAATTAACCGCTCATTTTTACGAAAAAAAAAAGCTGTACAAAAGTTTTTATGCATGAAGAATAATTTTTAAAAAAATTATATTTTTAGAATTTTAAGTACCTTACCTTTTCAGTTTTTCATTCAGGATTTTTAAACGAATGATTTAGAACTAAATTTTGTTCAGGTTGATTAAGAAAAGTGTTGTTCAAAAAATTGCTGGGAAGAATATGCTTAAAATACTGATTTATTTGGGTTAAGATAATTTAATTTAATTAACATTAATGAAATATCCATTTTGTAATAGATTCAATTGCAATGAATTTCCGCACCGTTCTCGAAAAAAGGAAAACCACGACTAAAAG